GATGCAGCTGGACATGAATGACTGGACAGTGTCAGCCAGACAGGAGCACAGGCTTAGCTGTGCTGCTGGTGGCAGAGTTGGTAGTGTCACAATAAGGGTGCAGTAGCCACCATCCTGGGAGTGGAGAAGGAAGGGCAAAGCAGAAAAAGGGGCTGGAGATCTGGATGCAAAGGTCCATGAGTATTGCCTGCTGTCTCATGGCAGGGAATTAAGGAGCCGCTGGAATTACTGCTGTGCTGTTCCACCATTGCCTTCTGAAAGTGCAAAATGATTGTTCTTAGCGTGAAGTTCAGATTTGAGTTATACTGCTTGAAAGCAGAGCTGGTGGATGGTCACCAACAGCAGAAAAATGCCCAGTCTTCTCAGGCTCTTACCTTTTTTCTTTGCTTGCCTGCGCCCACCCTCGTAGTCAGCCTTTTCTGAGGGTAATTACAAATATCCTGTCTGATTTCAGACTATCTCACTGTATCTGTCAATAGCAATCTATCAGTTTGAGGGTATCTGGTTGGTCCCCCAACTTTTCCAGGATAGACTAAACTTGTAAATCATGTTGCATAAAAGTGTTATGAAGCAATTTTGACTCTAGTTCATGACGGTCGCTTTTCCTTCATACATTTTTAAATTCAGTGCAGAGATTGTTACGTGCAAAATGCTATAAGCATTACATTGGAAGACCTCCCTGTCAAGCTCTCTTTTTTTTTTTTTTTTTTTTTTTTTTGTATGGAGCTGGTGGGAAAAGATATTATTATTAGGAAAAACACCACTTAATAAGGACACTTAAAAATGGAATGGTGCTTAAGAGGCTTTGTCAATAAGCAGTTTCATGCCATGCTCTGAAGAACAGCTTGGATGTCCCAAAGGATTTTTACAGCTATGCCAGTAAGTCTAATTGCAGATAATACTTTTCTTGCTTAAGTCATGCCTCAGTTAGATCCTTACATCAATGAGGCTGCTGTAACAGTAGTGTTAATATTGCTTTTTGTAATTTGGTTAACTGACTGTGACATACACCAAAGTTACATATGTGTAGAATGAATAAGTTGCTTCTTGTCTGATCAGATGGATCTTAACAGTTTGTGGATTTATTTTTTTAGGGATTATGTGAGGAGCGAGTTGGAATCGGGATATGAAGGGCCAATGTACTTGGAACCTCTCTCTATGAATCGTTTCATGACTGCTTTAGTAGGTAAGTACTTTAAATATTTGTGTTGCAGGACAGAGCTCTGCCTAAATCTTTTCATTGAAACCTATGCATGTTTTACCTCTTGGTTTCATATCTCTTTTATCACTTTTAAGTAGCTGTGATTCTCATTAATATGCAAGAGGCATGGGAGGCTAGGTGTATCCTGCCTGGCTCTTTCTATGCCACTGATTTATCAATACTCCTGCGCTTGCAGCTTTGAAGTATTTTCTGGGTCTGTCATGCTCTGCCTCTATGTTCTTCTCAGACTCGCAATCTGATTCAGAAGGACTGGATTGTCTATAATAATCTTTAGGTGGAAAGTACTCTAGAAATCTTACAAAATAACTGGTGAAATAGATGTATGGGAGTTTGCATGGCTACTTTCTTTTAGAGGAGTCCCAGGGATATTTCTAATTACAGAGTAACAATTCAAAACTGTGTTTAAATTGTGTTTGATTAATGACAGAGATTACTTCTCTATGTAAAAATCCCAAATAAATCCTGAAGAATTGTACTTTCTAGACTGCTCCTTTACCCTTTGAACTTCGACTGGAAGAAAGTAAATTCACTGTTAAGGTTGCTATGCCATACCGTATGTTCTTCTGGGAGGATATCGGAATACACACACACCATGTGTATTTTAAAATTAAGCCTGAGACAAGCCTGAAAGAAAAATCTTCCTTAATTCCTTTCACTAAGATCTGTGGTTTTCATCAGATTATCGACAGATTTAGTCAGCCATGTACTGTTGGCAAAACTCAGCTGCTTTCTGTTTACTTGCAGCTGCTACTGGCAGATTTAAATGGGTTTACTTCTTTGCAGTATGTCAGGTCTACCAGAATATATACATCATCTGTTTGCTTGCATCCTTACTTTCAAATGTGGCATTTGTCTTTGCTTTTAATATTTTTTATAGAAATAACATTGATATTTTTCAAAGAAAGGAAATCTTTAGAGATCACTTCTTCTCTCTTCTGAATTTCTAGATATATTTTGCTGTCTTGTGAAATGACGCTGAAGTACAACTAAAGCCTTTAGTGTGTTTTTATGAGAAAATGTTTGTTCTTTGAATCTCTCTCAGGTGCAATGCAGGGTCCCATGATAAAGCAGAATCCCTCAGAGGGCTTCACAAAGCAGCAGGCAGGCCTGGGCAGGAAGATCAGAAGGCATTGTGTCATTCAGTAACATTTAGACAGAAACTGAACTGAGAGTCAAACCCATTATGCTTCATCCAGATCTTAATATGGATTAGAAATAAGTGAGAAAAAGATAGTACTGTGTTTATCCAGAAAAAGATAGTACTGTGGATATCAGACTAAGGCATCTCCTAACTGTAATTGTTTTTCAGAAGTAGGTACTTGACTATACTAGCAAATGTATTTGTAGTTAGTATGTTAGCATACTTAATAGTATGTTAGCTAGTATGTTAGCATACTTAATATCCCTATTATTAATTTCCCCTGTTCTTTTAAAGCCAACTTGAAAGTGTAATTTTAATTTCGATGGCAAGCGGTTGTCTTTGGGACAAACTGTGAAAGTGGGCTATGAGGCTTGACAGTGTTTTTTATAAATATGAAACACTTTCTCAAATTTGTTACATACAAAGGTATTTATCCAGTGCGATCTGCCATGTCACAGGAGTGTACTGCACTGAACTGTGTCCTCTTCATAGGAAAACGAATATTCAGGTGCTTGGCTCCTTCTTTTTCTTACGTGTTCTGCCAGAGTGGTGTGCTGCAGCACTTCTGACAAAGGCACAGAGGCAGGTGCATGGGTGAATAATTGTGCTACTAATACAGCTCTGGTTCCTAAAAGTTCTGGTCAGAATTAAGGGGATGATGTACAGTACACCAGCTGGTTCACAAACTTAATCTTTGTTAATGCTTTTATTCATTAGTGCTTTTTGAATGGACTCTCATAGTCCTTTCTTCCCCTGGATCTAATTCAGTCTGATGACTGTTGACTAGGGTTACTAATATGCTGGATGGAAGAAATAGATGTCTTTGAAGACTGGCCCTTGGATGAGTGTGCCACTTTGTGAGCATGTCAGCTGTGAACTTTACAAAGCTGCGTGGGTTTGGAAGTGATGCTACCATGAAGACTTGCTTTTTCTTAGTGCACAGTAATGGGATTATATATTAACTTTGAGACATCCTGGTTTTGCATGTTAGTGATGTAGCCAGGGAATTTGTTAATTTTTAAAATTGGAAATGAAATAAAGACGGTTCCCAACTCTGTGAACAGTGGCTGTACCGCACAGGCTTTCTTGTTGCACATTTTCCATTAGCTTACTAGCTGGGAGGCTTTGGCAACCTGTCAGCAACATTTAATTTACTTGTGGAGGTTTTAGGAAGGGAAAAGAATGGGCAGGAACTTAAGGCAATAGATTTCTTCCTTATTGCCTCATTCCCTAGCAGAGGAGCCTGGTGTCCTACAGGAGGATTCCAGCTGTCGGGTTCATTAGCTGTGTCTGACAGTTTTCAGACCGTGTCATTTAAGTTTACAGAGTGCAAACATTCAGCTGGATTTGGAAGTCTTAGCAGATAGCTAGAGTGTTAAAATATTTTTATGATTTGATACGAAGTACAAACTAATTTCTTCTGACTGATCTTGCTATGTTAGTGTGATGACTGACGGTATACAGCCCCGCTTGGGGATAAACAGTGATTTACTGCAGAGAGATATTGTCTGTGCTGTACTAAGGTTCTGCTACCCCAATTTAAAATGGGAAGTACCAGTCAAAGCTGGTAAAAGCTCTACTGGGGACATTTTCAGCCCCTTCCTGAGGGGATTGAGAATTGACAAGGTGCAGACTTCAGGAAGGAGATCGAGGCCTCTGTAGAAAGTGCTCCATGTATTTCCTTTGATGGTATATAGTGCTCCTTCCCGTGATAAGTAACTTTTGATCTGTGTTTACATCAAAAAGGTGGTAGGGTCAGAGTGTTTAACAGGGATTACCAGCGTACTTGACACATCACTGTTGGAGGAAAGCAGGTTTTGCTGTTGCATGAGATGAGACTGGACTCAGAGGAGTTTTGTTATTGGGGAGCTCCGGAAGAGCACTGGATTGTTTAACATTGTGTTGTTGCAGTATTTTATTTCAGATGCTGACAGTCTTACTAAATCCTAAAGAATATATTGGATGCTGGTATTTGTATCCCTTTGTATGTGAAGCTGGGTTGCCTTAGTTACCATGAGTTGCAGAAATTCTCACAAGCTGACTGTGCCAGGCTCCTGAATATTACAGCACAACAGTGTGCTGGTGGTATCTTAAATAGGGTTGTAGCAATGTGTGTGTGGGCAGAGAGCAACAAAGCAGAGGGAGAATGCTTCAGAGCTGGAGTCTGTTGAATTTCTAAAAGGATGAGTAGAGTAACTTTCTCTGAGGCTTATAAGACCCCGTATGCTGGTAGTACCTTGCTGAGAGCAAGGTTGCTTGTTCTGAAAAGACCATCTGCTAATTCAAGAACACATCTATCAAATTGACAATAGGACTTGAAAGAGGACAGTCTGAAGGAGGAAGAACTTTGTATGCTTGAGTAGTAGAGATTAGAGATTGCTTTCAACTCAGTGGCAGTTATTTGGAAAGCAGACCTCCTTTCCTAGGTAGGGGAAGCTAGGCAGAATGAAAGCAAAACCCTGGTACTGCTATTTCTCCTCTTGCAGCTTCCCTCCCCACTCCATCCAGAAGGGCTTACAAGGTCAGTAAGCTTATGGGAACACATGGAGTTAGCGCTGGCCTAGAGATGTTAATGGCCTTGATTTTGTTACTCTGTGTTTTGCTAAGGCTAACTCCTGATTTTGGCAAGAGTTGTGAAATGCAAACATTAATGGAGGTAGCTACAAAGCAGAGCATAAGCACTTGAGTTTAGCACCACGTATTGTGGCTTTCGGATGTAAGCTGACGTAGATGGTGAACAAGGTTCTGCTTTTAAATAATACGCAGTAAACTTCTTCCTTACTGCAAAATGATGAGTGAGAATTGTTCTTATCCAGGCAATGTGCATTTTGCCCCATTCCGTTTCCTCTGAGATAACGGGTACAACGTCCAGCAGCTCTGGTGTTATACTGGAGTGGTCTGCTCTAAAAATACCACCCTCTAAATCTCTCTGGGTGTGTGGGAGAGATGTGCTCATGCTTGTGGCCCTGCCAAATGTTAAAGAGAATTTAGTTGTTAATTATCTGTCACTTGCAAGCTTCAGTGATAATTTTGAGCAAGTGCCTCAGGGCATTATGAAATTATTGAAGTCTCGACTGCTGACCTGGCTGTTCTCCTGTTGCTGTTCATGGCAGTAATTCCTCTTGACAGTGTAAATATTGTTGCTCCAAAAGCCATTTGGGACCTCTGATTACTTTTTTGTGTAGATTGGGATGAAATAGTAGTATAGCTGGGCTTCAGAAAAGCTACTGCTGTGTACACAGCTACTGATGGGATTTAAGTTGAGCTGGGGCTGTTAAGGAAAAAGAGGGATGACTTGTTGGGTTATTCTCTGCATGTTTTATTCCTGGGACATCATATTAATCTATGTATGATTCTGCATGTGTTTTGGGTTTTCATCTCACTAATCTGTAAGATGAAAGCATGCACTTTGCATAGTTTGAAAATGGTAACTTTCGTGACCCTGCAGAAGATGCAGAGGAGCCTGGTTTCATAACAAATATGTCCTAGTTAGAACTGTCATAATATGCTGGATGTTGATAACTGTGTTATGGAAAGATAACGTATTAAAATACGTTTTCTCCTGAAGGGGATAATCAGCTTGATTATAAAATACTGTGTTGTGTTTTCAGGTCAGCTGGTGGTATGTACACTCTGCTCCTGCGTCATGAAAACGAAACAGATCTGGCTTTTCTCTGCTCACATGCTCCCTCTGCTGGCACGACTTTGCCTGGTCCCTTTGGAAACCATTGTCGTCATCAACAAGTTTGCCATGATTTTCACTGGTTTGGAAGTTCTCTACTTTCTGGCATCAAATCTTCTGGTGCCATATAACTTGGCGAAATCGGCATACAGAGAGCTTGTCCAAGTAAGGCAGCGAACATAACAATTTTCTTTTCTTTGGCCTGAGCCTTTTTTTCAGGAAAGAAATTAAAAAATATTTCATCTGTCTTCTGTGCAACTCTGTGTGTGTGTGAACTCATGCTTTCTTAGCAATCCAAATATGTTCCTATCCATGGCATCTTCTTTCTTTAATTTATGGTAGCTTATCATTTGTATGGTTGAACAGTTAAGACACGAGCCTGAATTATGCTGCTGGCCAGGTGAGCGTGTCCACTTTGCTTGGACTTTGCTTAGATCTTCCCAAATAATAGAATCATTAAGGTTGGAAAAGGCCTCTAAGATCATAAAGTCCAACCATCAGCCCAACACCACCATGCCCACTAAACCATGTCCTGAAGTGTCACGTATACACGTTTTTTGAACACCACCAGTGATGGTCACTCCATCACTTCTCTGGGCAGCCTGTTCCAATGTTTGACCACTCTTTCAGTAAAGAAATTTTTCCTAATATATAATCTAAACATCCCCTGGCACAACTTGAGGCCATTTCCTCTCGTCCTATCGCTCATTACTTGGGAGAAGAGACCAACACCCACCTCACTACAACCTCCTTTCAGGTAGTTGTAGAGAGAAATAAGGTCTCCTCTGATCCAGGGGGAGGTTTCTATCCTTAGAAATCCAGGCTAAAAGACAAGATTGTGGCAGAACGGGTATTTATTTACAGCCTCATTAAGCAAGCAAGGTAATCCTCATGCATTAATTGTAGTAGTTTTTTTTTTTCCGTCTGTATGAAAAACATTTGTAACTATAGTAGTGTTAAATTTGGACTAACACTAACTGATTTTGACTGTAACTTGCAGACAGTGATTTGAAAGGTCTGTAGAAATTTTCTTTAGAACAGCAGCATTCCTGAGACCTCTAACAAAAGAGTTAGCAGAAACAGAGAAGATTGATCTGACATGTATCCATTTTGTTAACGCTTTGACATCTGATATATATTTAGTTGGAAAGGCAGTTTGTTAGTGGTACAGAAACATCACACCTCACATTTTTATATAAAAACAAAATACATGTGCATATGCATCCTTCTGTATATTTCAATGTAAAAAAGGTTGATGCTTGCTTGACTTTTGACTGACCTGCTATTTTGGCGCTCACCACTAGCTGGATTTTTTTCAGACCAAGCCACTGGTTTTCTGCCTCCTGCTCTTCAGTCCAGAAGCAGTCTGAAAACTAACTTGTTAAGCTCTTTCAAAGCCTTCCTTAAAGCTCTTCTTTGCTGTCATATCTGTCATAGACAAACAAAAACTTGGCAGCAGCAGGTGTCTGGTGTGCCAAGGTCTCAGCCTGCCATGTTGATCATTACTGTCTGGTTATTTATTTTGTGTGTAATTGGGTCTTTGGAGCAGGATTATCCTTCTGTGTTTGTACAGCACCTAGCATGGTCTGATCTTGTCCATAACTAGCTTGTAGATTTGCTGATTAAAAACTAATTTGGAAGCTAACTGGCAAAGCTTCAGTATCCTTGTTTTCTAGTGAGAATAGGAAAATCATGCTTATGTTCATTTAGAGTGCTAATGTTTGGAGTAAAACAGTTCCATCTCTTTGTACAGCTCAAAGACTTGCAACAGATTGGAACCAGCACTTCCATTTTCCATGTGCATAAATGGATGCAGAATTTAGCTTTCTGAAGTCAAAGTCAGATTGGATTCAGATTTGGGAGTCATGTATCTATTTTTTTATTAGACACTTATGTTTAAAACACTTCAACATTGTACGAATGTTTTAATTGCAAATACATTCTGGAGTGAGGAGGAAATAGTTGTTTCTTGCTGATTTTTTTTCTTTTTCTTTTTTTTGGGGGGGAGGATGCGTGTCAGAATTATATTCTGTTACACAAGTCTCCTTGTCTTTAGGATTGCTTGTGTGTCATGTCATGTCCCGTCCCATGTCCGTCCCCTCCGTGTCCCCTCTCCCCCCAAGTATTTGAGATATTTGCATGCCAGGCTGTATTACAGCGTTGTAAACAGGGGGAGAAGTATCCCTTGTACATGGCCTTTAGACACTGATCATACTTTCTCCTGACTATTTATGCACAGGGAATAAAGTTTTTCCTTGGGAATACAGAGAAAATGGCAGAAACTTTGTAACGTGGCACTAGACTTATAATAGTGTTGTATGCTGCTTTTCTAAATGCATGTAGTAGAGATGGGGTTGGAATGAAAAGCTGTGTGTGAGTGGTTTTTGCATTGTATTTACAACAGGAGAAATCAGAGGTTTTGTTTTTAAAGAGCTTGCTGTTCTTTGCCTATGTTCCTGAAACAGAACAAAAAAAAACATTTGCTTATAGTGTGTTCGTATAACTGGTTGCCACTCCACTACAAATCAAGCTTAGTATGCTTATTCCAGAGGAGGATATTGCTGTTTTGTCTTGAACATTTTCCTACTTGTATTCCCATCGCTGTAACTTGTGCAGTTGTTAGTTTTCAATGATGCCTTCATCCTGGTGTTTGTGAGCTTACTACTGTTTTAGGCTGGATTTAATTGCTGTTTTGGTATCAGTGGCAAAACTCAGTGAATATTGGGTTGTTAAACACCAGGGGTGTTTCCTGAATGCAGCACCATAGGGGAGACAGCCCTAGCAGGTGGGCCAAGGCAGCGCTTCGTGTGTGTGTGTATTTCAGACTGTGGCTAACTGTATAATTTAAAAGCAGGTCCAGAACCTTCGCTGCCTACTTGCAGCAGAAGATGCCAGAAATACCTCATGGTTATGGATCGGCATTATGAGCATAGCATGACCCTTTTCCGATGTGGTGGAGAGCTCTGCCAGGAGCTGCACAGGATTACTTGCATTGGCCCCAGGCCAAGGGAGTCTCCTGAGGGCAGATGCGCTTCCTTCACAAGTCTGTGTGCAAAGCGAAAAGCGGGAGCTTGGCGCCGTGTCCCTGCCAGCAGCGTATTGCCAGCCGATCAGCCGCCGTACGTGCGGCAGCAAGTCCTGTGAACGTAACATCCCTCACGCTTGTCGTGAAAGACTAAGCAGGCAGCTTTTTTGGCGTTTGCTAAAATCTGCTACCCATTGTGGATTGTATGTCGTTGTGGGAAGCAGATGATGAGGAAATAGTAGTTACAAGCGATTTCCTTTTGACCTTTTGTATTAAGTCCAGCTATATGAAGGTCCAGCTTCTTGGAAACGACTGTATTGTAACTTAGTCTTATCAATACAAAAGAAGTAATTTGAGCTTCAGAAATAACTCTTCTGAAATAACTCTTAAGCACGAATTTCAAAACACTTGGTCAATTAGGAGCAGTCAGAAGTCTGGTACATGTTCTTTTTTGAGATACTTAAGTCATACTTAAAATGTTTGAGGTATTAAGTTTTTCCTTAAAAACAGGTCAGCAAAGCAGATTTAGTGTGCTGAAGTGATGTGGCTCATATTTCAATATCTAGTGTGTGTAGTGACTTGGCAGTAGCTACAGAGAAAACAGTGTTGCTGTGACTTGAGCTGGGTAAAAGGGTCTGAGTGGGTTGTGCATGAACTGGAGGCACGTGTCCTTGCCCCTCTGGCTGTGAGCAGGTTGCAGTCAGCAGCTCCGAGCCAGTTATTCATAGGAAGGGGCGTTCAGCTGGTCTGATAGTTTGCTGCACAGTCAGGTACTTCTGCTTGCAGACAGACAGTGGTAATTTGTCACTGCCGAATCTGGGCTCTCCCTTTGTCAAACTGTAGTTTGTTGTACCTCTTCTTTTCCTATTGGCATTACTAATGCTGTGTGAATTACCCTTAGTTTCCTTGTGGCTATAGTGTTGACCGTGCTTTTGTTATTCAAATCACAGGTGCTGTGAACCAGTAACAAACTGCCTTTTTCTGTCTTGCCCAGGTGGTGGAGGTGTATGGTCTCCTGGCTTTGGGGATGTCTCTGTGGAACCAGCTGGTCGTCCCAGTTCTTTTCATGGTGTTTTGGCTTGTCTTATTTGCTCTTCAGATCTATTCCTATTTCAGTACGCGGGACCAGCCTGCCTCAAGAGAGAGGCTCCTCTTCCTCTTCTTGACAAGGTAATTAAGTAGTCTGCAAATACTGGTTTTCTATTTTGATTTTCTTCTGAAATGAATGTTTGTGCTCTTTTAGAGACTAGATGTGTTGATTGGCTTTATTGCATTTGGATACGTAACAAATATTTGTCCTTATTGCAGTGACCATGTATGTAACCATGTTAAGCTTGTCCTTCAGAGGCACGGATCCCGTTCAGAACAGACAGCATTAGCAGAACTGTGGGATAGTTCCCAAAGAAAGCAAAATATTCCTTTGATGAGGGAATAGCTATAATTAGAGCTTTTGTCCAGAAGATGTTTTCAGTGTACAAATTGGTTTTACATCTGAGATATTTCAGCTGAAGTTCAGTCCAACTGATATCTTATTCATGATTGTGTTGCTTTCTGAGCCCTGTATGTCTTGTTTCATCATTCTGGTGTGGGACACATTGAGTTCATCCAAGCAGCCAAAGTACCCAACTCGCAAAGTAACTTTTGAGCCCAGTGGTTAATTTGGCAGAGGTGTAAAGATCTTAGAGATACCAAATTCCGAAAGGCTTTGTAAAAACTGGTTGTCAGATAAAGGAGAGAGGCCTGTGTTAGTGCTGTTATTGAGAGAAAGACAGCATTTGAGGGATTCTTCTGGCTGGAACCGAAGTGCCTTTGCTGGCTGTTTAACTAGAAATTAGAACATACAAAAGGGAGCAGGAGTATAGGGCAAAGAGGGTGTGTTGCAGAAGATGGGTTAGGCAAATTAATGTAATATTGGGATGGGGAGAAAAGAGGTAATAGTTGTCTAAGCACACAGGTAACACAGGACATACTCTTCAGAGACTGTAGAGCTGTACTGGGTCAGACCAAATACTGATCTAGCCTAGGATCCAGTTTGCAGCAGTGGCAGTAAATGGGTGTCTGGAATGACACCCACCCATAATGCGACAAGCAGGACCCTTCCTAGTACTCTTCCAATCCCAGATCCAACTTCAGATCTCAGGCTGTATTAGCTGGATATGGTTAATATGTATTCAGTAGCCCTCAAAAGATTTATCTTCCATCTATTTGTGCTTTCTGCTCTTGAACCCGTGTATACTTGTGGTGTTTGAAAGGTCCTGGGGCAAGGAGCTTCACAGCTCAACTTGGTCTGTATGAGGAAAAATGCATTTTGATTGCTTGAATCCATATAGTTTCATTCAGTGTCCCTTGATTCATGTATTGGGCAGGGCGGAAGACCAAACAGTTCTGCTCTTTTCTTTAAAATTGAGAGTAGCACAAGTCTGTTCTTCCCAAACTCTTCTTGCATGTTTGCTGTTTTAAAACTGTTCTGAACCTTTCGTTGTTCTTGTTGTCCCTCTCAAAGTCTTTTCCATGGGTACGTAACTGCTGTGATTTTTGAGAAGCCTTGAAGAGTTTAGCTCTTTGGGACAATTCATAAACTTGTGCTTGACACATAAACATAACACTGAAAGCTCCCCAGGCTTCTCTTTGAGCTCTTAAGCTCCTCTGGGACCCTTGCATAGTAGATCATTTGGAAGTAAGTTTAAGAAGGGTACTAAAATGACTCTGACAAAAAGGATTGGGTATCAGGCAGAAAAGCCAGGATTCTTGATTTCTGATAATTTCTTTTGAAGCAAAACTTAGAGTTCCTCAAATATCCTACAGAAATAGCTGCTTTAAATACTGTGTTTCTCACTACCTTGACCAACAGGAACATTTAGAATTTTCAGCCCCACCTAGCTTGGTAAATTGGCAGAATTTGAAGGCTTACCAGAAACACTGCAAGTAGTGCATGTAAACACATCAACATTTTCTGCTGTGAATGGCTTTCAAAAGAGATTTCCAGTTAAAGTAGTCATTAAAAGAGACAAAGTAAATGTCTCTTGGATGAGCTTTGTTTATTTTTAAAGCATATGCTTCCTCAAAACTCTTTTGTTTTGTCAGAGTTCTGGACTGGTTTACTCTTCAGTCGGTTAATAATAATAAGCATGGCATGTTTTTGATTACCGTAATTTCTCTCACAAAACTACTATCTTGGTGAACAAGTGAAGATTTTTTCTTCTTTTTTTCTTCTTAAAATGAATGGGGGTGTCAGTGCATTACTTTGGATTATGCATGTGAGGTCTGAGCCATTTGAAAGACAGGTGTTGCCTACCTGAACCTGATGCAAATGCTGCCAAAAAGCCCCCAGTCTCCTAATAGTATTTATCAGTTCGATGTTTTGTTTGCGCTGTTGTGGATCCGAGTGGAAAGTGCCTTAGTGAATCCATCTGCTTTAACTCTGTGTTTCTGGTAGCTGGCTGAAATTTCAGCAAGTAACCTGGGTGCGTTGTGGCTGTCAAATTGACTTCTGATTACGAAAACCCTACGCAAGCAGGACAGTGCCACCGTGTGGCACAGCGCTGGAGAGGGAGCGGAGAAATTCCATAGCACAGCGCTAGCTGCAGCCTGACCAGCATTAGGGGAGCTGAGGTGAAGCTGTGTCTTGGAAAGAAGTATCAGGGTACATCTCATCTCTTTCTTTTTATAGGAGGATTTCATGGAGGTGTAGAGCTTTCATTTTATAGAGCTTTTATATATATTATTTTTTATA